GGTATGGTCCCTAGGGCTGGTCTGCAATTTTCCCCAGCTGCTGGCAGCTGGCCCCACTCCCCTCACTGCCACACACTCCTGTTCCCCTTTTGTCATCAGCTGATCGGAGCCTGCTGACAGGAGGTGGTGGTGGAGGTGGGTGGGTGGGTGGCGGGGGGACCAAGAGGTCAGCCATTTCTGCCTGCTTGCTGGCTCTGCCCATGCTGTAGGTTGCCTTTTGTGTTTGGGGAAACTGGGGGAGGCCTTGGCCTGGCATCACTCATGTCCCCCACCACCCACCCCGGTACCCTGTTTGTCATCAGGTGATCAGAGCCTGCCAGCCGGCCAGCAGAAAGAACCGAGAGGTAGTCAGTGCATCTCACAGTGAATGGTTGAGTGGTCTTTGTTGTGGTTCCGACGTTAGGGTCAATTTGCATACTACCCTTTTATTATATAGGATAATAGGTTATATAATAAAACATAATAAAATATAATAATACTAATAATAAGTAATGTTAATAACACAATAATAAAAAGGGCTAGCTGAACTAAGAAAGTAAAATTCTCAGGCACAAAAAAAAATGTGGATTTAGTAATTTATACTACCATTTTTAAGTCAGTTATGAATTATTAAGAGGACACTCAGTTATGGGCCATATTTTGAGAAATGGCTATGAAAGTCATTTTAAACTAGGCTAGAAAAGAAAAAAAATAGCTAATAAAAAATTAGACAATCTAAATGTCTAAAAATAAGGAATAGACCAAATAGTGGTACATCTTTCCATAAACATGACATACAAACTTATGTCATAATGTCACTGAAAAATATTTAATGACATTGAGAATTGTTTATATTATAAATTGAAATAAGCAATGAGTTCTATGTGACATATATACATACACATCTATAAAGAAGGTCTTAGAAGGATACATACCAAAATATTAATAGTGGCTAGCTATGGTGATAGGATTACAAATAAATTTTACCTCTTTTCTGGCTTTTTCCCATTTTCTAAATATTAAAGTTGGGCTATTAAATTTTTTTTTCCTTAAAATAAAGAAAGATGTTATGATTTACTTACTTAAGGTGATTTTGGTGACTGAAGGTCAACTTGCATGCATGTTAGTACTAGTTATGAAAATTACAGGGCAAATAGAATACCAAGATTGTCCCCTTCTCAGCCCAATAGTGAAGGAGAAGAGAAGGAGAGGAACAAAGAAGGGTGAGGAGGGCCCCAAACTCAGTACCCTTGATGGATATTGAAAGCAGGCAGGGAAAGCCCTTTCATGTGCAGACTCCCACTCAGAATGTCAAGGGACCCAGAGACTCAGAAAGGTCGTTTACCATTTTATTCAGTCCTCGCCTCACTTTGAGGTAGAATTTGAAGAGTAAGCTGATGATGAGGGTTCGCTTATATTCTACCATGCCACCCTCAGCTCCTGGCGGAATGAAAATCTCATCCAGGACCAACCGGCACGCATCACTCAGCATTTGGTCATCCCATTGCCTAGTAGGAAAGAATGCAAACATTTCACAAAAGAGGCACTAAACTGATAGAACAAGGGAAGATGGAGAGCAATCTGTATCCATCTTTGAAATCAACACAAAATGTCCTAAATATTGCATCTGCTTTATTTAGAATATGATGCAGTGAGAGAAACATCAATGTGAGGGAGAAACATCAATCTATTGCCTCCTGAATGTGCCCCGACTGGGGATCAAACCCATGACCTAGGTATGTACCCTGACAGGGAAATGAGCCACAACCTTTTGGTGTATGGGATGAGGCTTCAACCAACCAAGCCACCAGTCAGAGTGTGATGGGAATTGTTAAGATCTACTCTCTTAACAACTTTTAAATATATAATACAGTATTATTAACTACTAGAGGCCTAGTGCATGAATTCGTGGGGTCCCTTGGCCTGGCCTGTGGGATCAGGCTGAAACCGGCTCTCCGACTTCCGCTGGGGGTTCTCAGATTGTGAGAGAGTGCAGGCCAGGCTGAGGGACCCCAAGGGTGCATGATAGGGGCCAGGGAGGGACTTGGGAGGTTGGCCAGCTGGGTAGGAGCTGCATGAGGGCTCTAGGGTATGTCCGGCCCATCTCACTCAGTCCCAATCATCTAGACCCCAGCAGCAAGCCAACCTACCAGTCAGAGCGTCTGCTTCTTGGTGGTCAGTGCATGTCATAGAGAGCAGTTGAGCGATCCAGTATATCATCAGCATATTACACTTTGATTAGTTGAACTGATGACCAGATGATTAGACACTTAGCATATTAGGCTTTTATTATATAGGATAGGCACAATGCTATACACTAAATACCCATGAATTATTCATGTTATAGCTGGAAGTTTGTACTTTTAACCCCCTTCTTCCATTTGTGCCCTCCTTTCCCTCCCTGACCCCACCAGGTGCAACCACCCATCTGTTCTCTGTATTGACAGTGATGAAAGAAAGGCCATTTAACCTTTTGGAATATTTTATCTTCTTTATGTGGTTTAAAGAAATTTTTAGGTATCTTAGGACATAGCATTAGAAATGTTTACTTACTTTCTAGGTTAATTAAAAGTGAAAATTTTCAGGTTCTGCCTACTTTTATTAATTTGTTCAGTAATCTTATTACAGACATGACAATGAAAGAATTACTGTACCTTGAAATATGTTGGTTTGGGGTGGCTTTTATTTTCTTTATCTTTTGTTTGCAGCAATTAAAAAATTTAAACAAATATATAGCTATATTTTATAATCAGAAAAAAAATCTCTAAGTGCTATTTTCATTAAAATATTAAAATAGGAAGGCCTGGGTTCTATGCTCCATACACACTGTGACCTACCTCCCGATGAGCTGCTTGCAGGTTTGGTTTGCAGAGACCACAGTGGGGCCAACACGCCCATAGAACATTTTAAGGTCCTTGATTGTGTCTGTGCCATCTTCAAACTTCACACTCATCCCAGCATTGACAATGGCGAAGGCATTCTCCTGGCGTTGGGCGAGCCGCAGGCCTGACACAAAGTGCCACTGGAGGGATAAGGACACATATGTAATACCTTACTCAATGAAGAGAAAATAAATAAAAACACTCAGAAAGGTTCGTGCTTGTCTCTACTGTGTGACAAACAGGGCACTTAGGTGATTGTTAATAATAAAAAGGACCCTGGGAATGGACTGGAATTCTCCGTTATTAACTGTGTGCTGACGGTATGTGAGCACTGGCCCGTGTGTTTTACATATGTTAATATTTGATCCTCACAGTAACTGTACTCATTTCCAATTTACTGATGAGGAAATAGAGGTTCAGTAACTTACACAAGGTCACACAGTAAGTGGCAGAGCTGAGGTTCAAACCCAAGCCGTCTGGCTTCAGAATCTATGCTGATCTACTTTCAACTCCACTCTTGACTTCGGGCAAATGACTTAAACTGGGTCTTAATTTTCTATGAAATGGGAAGGTTGGGTTTGATCAGAAAGTGCCTCAAGGATGAGGGGGAGGATCAAAAGGTGGAGTACCTTGCTTTGAGAGATACTTAATGAAAGAGTTTACCTTGATCTTTAATGAAAAAATTTACCTTGCTTGAAAGTCTTCTGAGGTGGTTGCCTGCTAGAACATGCACAAACTCCCTAATGAAGCAATAGATATGGGACTCGAACTCCCATCCAGTCTTATTTTATGGGGCTCCTCCAGCTGCCATTCACCCCAACCGAATGACCAGTCCCTTCTCTCCACTGACCTATGCTTTCCTTTCCTTTTGGAAGGCAGCTATGCTCACCACTATAGCACCAATTCGGACAGTTCCTTTCCTTTTGAACAACATCAGGGAAGGGAAGTTAGGCCTGACAGGAAAGCAAATGAAATGGTCATTGAGAATCTGGCCCTTCCTGAGCATGGCCAATCATCTCCCTGCAGCTGCTGGTTGGAAAAGGAGATGGCACCAGCCCGGGGAGTCTGTCTGTGGCTCCTGCACAGGGCTCAGGATGAGCAGTGTGTCCCTGGGTGGGCAGCAGGTCAGGAGTCCTTACCTGTGTAGAGTGGGGAATGTAAACAGATGACACAATCTCTTCTGACTTCAGGTCCGCTTCAGGCAATCTCTCAAGGAAATGGCCGTCTAAAGGAATCTGCCGTTCTCCTTCTATCAGAGAAATGACCTTAATTAGAATGCACGTGTCCAATTGGAGAATACCCAGCCTGGGGCAGAGGTGATGTATCCGGTGAAAAGAGGGAGTGCAGGCTGGGGGTCAGACGATGTGGTTTCTAGCTCCAGGTTCCAGGCTGTGTCACCTTAGGCAGGTCGCAGATCCTCTGGGTCTTCTGGCTCCTCATCATGGGAATGAAAGGTTGGGCCAGATAAGCTGGAAAGGCTATCTGGAAACACCCCAGTGCCACAAGTGGGAAATGGGTAGAATGGATTTCACGTGTGGGAAACCTGAGGTCCTGAGGTCCGGAGAGGTTAGATGACCTGTCCAAAGTGCTTAAGGTGGGACTAGTGACAAGGTGGGGTGCCTCAGATATAGCTTTTTTTCTTTAAGCAGTTTGCCCTGCTTTCTTATTTGACCCACCATATTTTTTAAATGTGATTTTAAACAAAGAAAGGGTTACAACAGTAGTTCTATGAATAATATGCATTGCTTTTATTTCCTTAACTACAATCTTTTCCTTTGGCAAGGAGGAAACTGGCTGGGAATAAAGAGAGAAGTAATGCATCATGTGCCCACGAAGTTGATTTTGTTTAAAATGAAAAGTCCTAGAAGAAAAATTCCACCTTCAGGAAACTCTGAAATTGAATATGCCATAAAACTTGAGAGGTACCCCAGACATTTTTTGATAACTGCTTTTGGACTGTGCATGAATGTGACCAAACAGCTGAGAAAAATTATCTGGTGCAGTAACTTATCTGTGAGATATAGAATATCTAGAGAACAGGATAATTGATCGCAGCTTCATCCTTATGTCTGAGGGAATGTAGCTATGTCCTATATGTATCTGGTAAGTCAAAGTTGGATATGCTTGGGTTCCCACATCATAGTTCATGAAAGGAGCTACTTGACAGTGATAATTATAAAAGAAAATGCTTAAACGTTGGTCTCTTACCTTTAGATATCAGATTGATGGTAGCATTTCCTGCTGCTAAAATTGGATTTAGGTCAGAAAAATTCGGCCTGCTCACCACATGTCCTCCTAAAGTCTAAATAAATAAAGGTGGCATTATTTATTTATTTTTTTTAGTAACACTTAGCTATTTAACAGGTAAGCAATTATCTATGCAGGGATCTTGTGTTAGCTTTTAACTTTCTTCTTTGCTTCATGGAAAGATCTGGCAGAGCTCTGGGGCAGTGAAGTAGATTCGGGCAACATAGGGGCAAGATTCCCATCCCTGACTCCACTCAAACTAATTGCCTGAGAAAATAATCCTTTCCCATGTGTAACGAGCAGACAGCTCTCTTTGGGAACTGATCCTAGAGTGAGCGTCTGTAACACAGGGGAAGGTGGAGACTGCAGCCCAAGGAAACGCTAGAGAACCGGGAAATGGAACTCATTTTCTAAATGTTTGCGGTGCTGCTGTGCAATAGAATTCTCCCCTCTTGCCCAAACCGTCACTAATGAGGACCTCTGAAGGGAGCTAAGAAGGCAAGATGATGAGAGGAAGCCATGGTCCAGAAAAAGGGATAGAATATGCCTATAGTGAAAACATATGGTGGATTTTGAGAATCAACCGAAATGGAGTCAGAGACAACTAGGAAAAATGTGTCCCTCTCCCAGCCCCACTGAACTACTCACCATGTGCGGAATGGGTAGTGGTTTGAATCAATTTTCTCTTAAATCTTAGATAATAAGGAAACCTCGGAAGCTAGATAACTGGGAGATGTCCAAGCATTGACATTTGGGATACACATGTTTGGAAACTGACCTCATCGCAAAGCTCCAAGAGGAGAACCATCCATAAAAGAGTATTTCAGGAAGGCAGGCCCTTGTTTACTAAACCTTGTATAAGACACCTTCCTCAGACTGTCAGAACCAGGCAGCATCTCAGAGACAGTCCATTGGGTTTAACTTTAGTTTTTTGTTGTTGTTGTTTTTAATATATTTTATTGATTTTTACAGAGATTAAGGGAGAGAGCCAGAGAGCCAGAAACGTCGATGAGAGACAAACATCGACCAGCTGCCTCCTGCACATCCCCCACCGGGGATGTGCCCCCAGCCAAAGTACATGCCCTTGACCAGAATCGAACCCGGGACCTTTCAGTCAGCAGACCTACGCTCTACCACTGAGCCAAACCGGTTTCGGCTGAACCTTAGTTTTTATTTTTAATTTCAGAGAGGAAGGGAGAGGGGGAAAGGGCTAGAAACATCAATGATGAGAAAAAATCATTGATCAGCCGCCTTCTGCATGCCTCCTACTGGGGATCAAGCCTGAAACCCGGACATGTGCTCTGACCAGTAATTGAACTGTGACCTCCTGGTTCATAGGTTGGCGCTCAACCACTGAGCCACACTGGGCAGGCTTAATTTTTACAATGGAGAAACAGTGGCTTAAAGTGGTTTCTCTAGGATCATGCCACTCATAGGTGATAGGCTGAGATTAGAATTTGGACACCTTCAGATTCCAGGAGCATAATCTTGTTATATAATATGCTGCTTCTAACTTTGGGAACACACACACACACACACACACACACACACTCACACTCATGTTGTGGAGATTTATTAAACACTGACTTGTTGGATTTCCTCTTCAGAGTAATGTTTGCTCAACTAACGAGACTATATGGCTGTCTGTAACTATGGCTCACTTACTATGACACTAGAGAACTTACCGCCATACTCCTGATCTGTACTCCAGCAAGCGTCCTCAGATGCGTCAGGAGGGCACGGTAGGTCTTAGTCTTCTCCTTTGGTTGCTCCGAAACAATAAAATTTAAGGCATCCTTCAGCTGGGCGAGGCTGTAGCCCGCGCCGATGGTCACCCCTGAAAGTAACCCACTGGGATGAAACCTTTTAGTAATAAGACACCTGGGCTGCATGGAAGCCACCTTTCCAATAGATCTTCTCTTCACATGAACTTAGAATGACATCAACCAAGATTAAGATTACTTCTGGCAATGTGCATTATTCCCAAATGCTAGGTACCAAATTCTTTTTTCTCAGTCCTATACACAGTCATATATGCCACATATGCTAATATATGTCCATCACAGATATTTACAATTTATTAGTTTATTTCCAATTTAGTGTTTTCCTGAATGTATCGATCAAATATAAAACTTGTATCCAAGACTTTATAAGATTTTTAAAAGCTCAGTGAGTCCATGTGGGGATTGAGCTGCACATTTGTGTGGTCCACTGGTCTTCCTTCCACAGCCATCACTTCCTACTGTTCCCTTGTCAGAATGAGAATAGACACCACCTGTGCATCAGGCCAATTCCATGCAGGTGAACCCACAGGGAATGCTTTGAGTAGCTGTGCCATCTGGTTTAGATATTCTTAAGGGGCAATACTGCCCCTAGGGGGTGAAAAAAAACTTTCTTTTTATGTATAAAGCTCTGATCTACATCTATATTAATAAAAGGGTAATATGCTAATTAGACCAGGAGACCTTCTGGACTTCTGGACAAAGGTGAAGAGAATTAATGGGCAGACTGACTTCAGATTAGCAGGTCAGAGGAGAAGCAGTCAATTTTCCTTTTGATTGATGTTTACTCCCTGGAAAGAACCCTATTTTACGTAGCATTTTTAGCTCCTATAACGTGTCCTCCATTCAGATGCTGAGTTTTGGTCGTGGACGGTGGGATATGTTTCTCAGACAGTCCTATTTGGTGCCATGTAGAAGGAGTACTTGACTAAGAGTAAGAAGAGATGGGATTTAGTCTTGACTTAACCAAGTGATAGCTGTGCAAAGTTGGGAAGGTATTTCAGCCTTTAACTCTACAAATCCTTTAGGATAGCAGAGATGCCAAGGCTACCTGCTCTATATACCTCCCACGGTTGTCGTGAAGATAAAGAGAAATGAGATATGAAACCACTTGCTAAATTGTGAAAAGAACGCGAAATAACTTGGAAATTTTGTAGTCTACGTGGTGTCTGTGTGTGTGTGTGTGTGTGTGTGTGTGTGTGCGTGTGTGTAGATGTCCTGTGCAACAACAGGTTGTGGTTTCAAATCCTGGTCAGGGCACATAGTTGAGTTTTGGATTAGATCCCCTGTCTGTGCATGTGTTTCTCTTTCTCTCTCTCTTTCTCTCTCTCTCTCTCTCTTTCTCTCTCTCTCTCTCTCTCATAAATTAAAACTTCATGGTTTGATTTGCATGCTCAGATTGCAGGGTCGATCTCCAGTAGGGGGCATGCAGGAGGCAGCTAATTAATGATCCAGTCTGATTGATGTTTCTATATCTCCCTCTCCCTTTCTCTCTCTGAAATCAATAAAAACATATAAGAATGTTTAAAAAATAAAATAAAAACATATCCTCGAGTGAAGGAAAAAAAGGAAATAAGAATGTCTAGTAAGACGCTTTCCTACCTACCGGCCAGCCAATGTCTTAAGTCTTCTTATTCAGTCAGCCCTCCAGTACCTGCCTGAACTACATGGCATCTTCCTGCCCTTATGGCTCCTATGACAAGGCAGTCCTCAGTGACACAGCTGAGTGGAGTGCGTTAGCTTGATAAAGCTCACAAATACACAGAGTAGATGCTCAATAAACATTTCTGAATGAATAAATGAGGTCAGCAGAAATCCAGGAAGTGCTCAAATCAGCCCATTGTATATAATGAACAGTCCGCCAACAGCCAATCATTACACCTTATTTGAAAAAAGAAGGTGCATACCGTTGTCTGTGCTGTCCACAAAATACAGTTCTGGAAGCCCAATTGGAGATATGAAAACTGGATGGAACTCATCTTTGAGTTTAATGCCGGGTCCTTAAGGAGAAAAGCATTTAAAGCAATTAGGAAGGGAAATCAATGGGTGCTACTAGATGTTGCTTACAAATAATCAAGAGGGAAACTGGTGACAAAAATGACATTTGCAAAAGAAAGCAACAAAGCATTTTAAAGGCAGAGGCATTCTTTAGTAAAGATGAATTGCATTTAGGAGGAGTTTAAAGAGACACTGGTGTTTGGGTTACCTAGAGAACATACTTCAAAACACCCACCCACTGTGGTGTTCCCCATGACAAGGGGGGCCTTGGGGTAATTGGCTTTCAGCTCCAGGAGGTCGTTGAGGGTCACAGGGGTCATCCAGGCGGTCCTTTCCCCTTGAAATGTCAGCCTTCTCTTGTTTGGATCTTCCGCCATCCTCTGCAGAGAAGCATAGCCCACAGACTCTTAGGTGAGGCTCCTGGGCTGCAAGCCCTGATGATATACACTGCTCTGGGTGTCCAAACGGTCTGCTGGCCAATTTTAACTTTCTGATGAGACCTAACTTCTAGGGAACAGGAAAGGATGGCTTTGTCTGAGACTAGATTTGTAAGTTTTGTGTGGGCACCATTGCATTAAACATCATAATGGGTGTCTGCCCGTCAATGCCTGCATAAAGAGTAGAATAGACGCTGTTTGTGAAGAAAGGGTGTGAAGAGGAGGCCGCATGGTATGATAACTGTCTAAAGGGCCCGGCTTCTCGCTCTAGTTCTGTCCCAAGAATGACTCAGAGGGGCCTCATTTTTGGGATTAGGTAATTTTTTTTTTTTTTTTTTTTTTTTTTTTTTTTTTAGGATAAAAGTTGCTTATAGGCCAAGTTACCCTTGAAAAACATCCCTTAAATCTGTGGTCGGCAAACTGCGGCTCGCAAGCCACACGTGCGGCTCTTTGGCCCCTTGAGTGTGGCTCTTCCACAAAATACCACGGCCTGGGTGAGTTTATTTTGGAGAAGTGGTGTTAGAAGAAGTTTAAGTATAAAAAATTTGGCTCTCCAAAGAAATGTCAATTGTTCTACTGTTGATATTTGGCTCTGTTGACTTATTAGTTTGCCGACCACTGCCTTAAATCATCCAACAGGCATAGTATATGTGGATGTTTTTATAACTCTATGTTTATACACATGCCTATCTACATCAACATGTATGCATATAATTGCAAAATACTAGGAGTGTCCAAGTTCTCACACTCTGAGGGGTGTGCAGGGACTGAGACTCTGAAAAGCCAGTAGAATCATATCCCTCATCTCATCCTCTCTCCAGGCCATAGTCATGGAATAGAACGATAGGCCTATCGCACTGTTTATATTTTCTCTCTCTCTCTCCCACCTGAGTTGAAATCACAGAGTTAATTGTAAGAATAATTTAATTCCATCATAATAACTATCATTTGAATTTTACTTTACCAGTTTTACAAAATGCCTTAAACGTATCTCACAGAGTCTCTGTGTGACATTGGACATCACCTGCCAGCTCTGAGCTCAGACCCTTCAATAGAGGGGGTGGGACCAAAGTACTTCTGAGGTCCTGGCAGCCTCACGCCGCAGTCTAAACTATCTGCTTCAAATTATTTACAGTGGAGCTGAACAAGTTCCTGAAAAGGGGTTGTTATAGTGGGCACAATTCCAACTTCTAACATCTAATGCTCGGTAATGCCACAAATTTCCGGGTAATTCAAAAGGCTTGTAACACATTATGTTATGAAATAACAAAAGTAAAATGTCTTACTATCAGTTCTGGAGGGAATATAGGTTCTTGGGATGGATCCAAGGGCTGGAATTCATCTTCATTATACAGTTTGGTACATATCTCGACAAAACAAAATAAAAGACAAGTGCAACTTCAGAGTTACTGGGAGATGTACGGGAGCCTCTAACTGTGGGACTTCAGAGTTAGGGCCTGACCCTCTGATACCTCAGGCACAAAAGGTGGGTGCCAGAGCCCACGGTGTCCCCATGGGATTCTCCCCTCCTTTGGAGGACCATGACGAAGCCCCTGGCAGCGTTGCTGAGCTCAGGCTGGCTCTTTGGTTGTCAGGAGTTGGGTTTTAAGCTTCTGTGCTGGGTCTCCAGTGTTATTTGCAGATACGTATTTGCCATGAGCATAAAGAGGCACCCCTGTGTATGTCCCATGATTGGGGGTGAGGGCATGGGTAAATCCAGATTAGCACAGAAAGTTGCAATGCTTCTGATAGAAGAAGATAGCCTTCTGTGGTGACTGGCCTCATGGAAGTCAAAGAGCTGCCTATTTAGGGGACTTTTGAAGGCTGTTTATGCCCTGAATTTACTGAAAAGAGTAGAAAATGTGAATACATTTGGATCTATTGGGTATTTTTCCAGTCAAACCCAAATGCAGCGGAACAGCAATACTTACCTTCTCCTGTCCCTTCACAGAAGACCTTTCTTCATCCTGATCCATGCAACATTTTCCCGATCCTTTCATCTGACAGACAGTTGATGCCTTCGGAAGGAACGCAGTTTAAAACAAAATCATTGGTTGATTCTTTAAATTCTGACCAGGCAGTGCCCAGGCCCCACAGGAGGAGATCATAGAGTGTGTCCTTGCCTTCAAGGACCCTGTAATGGGCTGGGGTGGGGAGCAAGGCATTCAGTCACTGAACAGCTAGAGAAACGGCAGGAACGTGCACCATGCTCATGGGAGGGTCTTGTTAATGGTCTCTCTCAAGTTTTGGGGGAGGATGAAGAGAGTTATAGGAGTGCTTGATCAGCAGTTAAGGCTTCTCACTAAAAGCGAGCTAAATGGAGTGTAGTTGCAAGGTGGTAACTCAAAATAAAACAAAACAAAAAGGCTCTTTTTCCTTATAAGGGTCAGACAGCATAGATTTTGAATGAAGCTATGGGAAGGCAGACTGCCTTGAAGACCTGCTACATTCATATCTAAAGAAACCGAAACCCGAGATTATTTGCATGTTAGTGTGGCTATTCTGATTATTTAGATAATTTAAATCCCAGACCATTTGACCTTAATTTTCAGGATCTTTCGTGCAGAACCAAAGGAGTGTTTTGGGCCTGAGTCCCCCGGTCAGGGACTGCAACTCGCAGGTGGATCATTTAATTCCTGTCTGTCCTTGTCATGTACAGACAGGGCCTGCGTCTGTGGCCGTTTACAGGCCACTAGTGTGACTTCATACATGGAGACAAGGAGACGTGGGTTCTAGCTCCTGCTTTAGCACATATTAGCTGGGTTGAGTTTGTTAAATTAGGAAAATAAAACACATTCCAAAGAGGTTTGTTAGATTAAATATACGATAGGTTTACACAGTTTTTGACACTAGAAAGAGCGAAAGTGGTGGCTTATATTTTTACTTAGGTCTCCGGGGAGGACGTGAGTAAGGTCATTTCCTACAGAGTTAAGAAGGGATTTGGATTTTGTGACAGCACTATGCACAATAAAGGAACTAATTGTAAATGTCTGAATGTGGGGACCCAGAGTGAGTGAGACAACAATACCTGTCATTATATAGATTTCACCTCCAGGAAAATAATTCTATAGTATTGGGTTGAATCATATGAAGTTGTTGTTTTCATGGGTCAAAAATGGTAGGATTCCTGAAACCTGTTTAGCTCAATTGATAGAGCGTCGGCTTGTGGATTGAAGGGTCCCGGGTTCGATTCCGGTCAAGGGCATGTGCCTTGATTGCGGGCATATCCACAGTGGGGGGTGTGCAAGAGGCAGCTGATCGATTACTCTCTCTCATTGATGTTTCTGACTCTCTATCTCTCTCCTTTCCTCTCTGTAAAAAAATCAATAAAGTATATATTTTTTAAAATGGTAGGATATTGGAAAATCATATGGTTCAATTTAAATAGTATTTTACTCAGGATTTAAAATAAACTAGCTTGTAGCTTTGTAAAAGCGTTTTTGAATTCTTCATTACTGGCCTAATAGTAGTTTCTTAAAAAAAAAAAAATAGAATTTGGAATTAACCTTTATACCTTGAGTTGTTTTGGTCAATCAAAATTATATATAATTAATTTTTGCTATAAGAAATGGGTGCTGGAAAAACACTTAACTGAGACCTGGCCTGTTGAAAGTATGTCTCCTCTTTAGAATCATAGGATACTGCCCTGTCCAGTTACTGTAACTCCATGCACTAATTCCCATCCTGCCTTTCCTGGCTTATTCTTCTTAAGGCTCCTCTGTGTCTTCCCTTCCTGCTCACTAATTCTCTTTCACATATCTTCCTTCAAAGCTTATAGGCATGGCATAGAGGATATACTGAGATTTTAATAATTTTGCTATTCAATAGATGCAAACTCTATTGAAGAAAATGAAATATAGATTAAGAAATAATTAAATCGGTTAAAAAATTTTCTCTATATATTCTTTATTTTAACTTACCGCACAGAAAGTATTTCCACTTTCTATAATTGGTCGATATCCAGTACAGCGACACAAATTACCTGATTAAGAAGAGATCAATTTTTAACAAATGATATAGAAATATATTGCATATTTGTCCTTCATGTTTTCAGTTATAATAGCAAGTTATAATAGCAATTAAATTCTTTTTTTTCTTCCCAAACCAGCAAAATTGCTCTTTGAAACAGAGATGTTCTTTAAAAAATAGATCTTGTGCCAGATTTTACAACATAATCTCATAATGGTTGCTATGTAAATTACAGGCATAGAATCTGGGAGGAAATAGTCCATTGCTATAAGACTGTGTATATTAAAAAAAAAAAAAGGCAAGAAAAATCACAATATATCTAATTTTTCAATACTCCATATACTTCACTAGTGTGGGTTATTTCATTGAACAAAGATTATCTATTGTTCAAATCTATTCAGGTTTGGTTAAAATTATAATTGAAACCATAGGCCACAGTTTTAGTACTTAGTGAGAAACTGAACAAATTTGAGTAAAGAAGTTGTTGAGAGATAAGGAAAAATATTAGAGAATATTTCCATATCAGTCACCATAAAATTTATGTTGAATTTTTACTTTGTTTTAGTCTACATCTTTTCATGATAAAACTGAATTTTTGTCTAGGTCTTTTAATTGAAAGGGACCAAGAGCTTTCTTATGATATTCAGATATTTGCTCCTACAGCTTTCGCCTAAGAACTAATGACCACTTACTTTAAAACTAGGTATGTTTGTTACAGAAGACTGCATTTCATAACATGACATGCTCTCTTTTTTTGTAGAAAATTGTGTTTGTTCACCAAAACTTGATAGCTATTTGTTATAGAAAATTGAATCCATGCCCTAACCAGTTTGGCTCAGTGGATAGAGCGTCGGCCTGTGGACTGAAGGGTCCCAGGTTCGATTCCAGTCAAGGGCATGAACCTTGCTTGCCGGCACATCCCAGTAGGGAGTGTGCAGGAGGCAGCTGATCAATGTTTCTCTCTCATCTATGTTTTTGACTCTCTATAAAATATCAATAAAATATATTTTAAAAAAGAAAATTGAATTTATCACCAAGCTTATTATGATAAGTAATTGCTTCTATGACTTCTTTGATCTTATAATAAACCCAACCAGAACATAAAACTGTAAAGTATCTGAAAGCCTATTCTCTTTTTAAAATTACTATAAGTAAGTAGAAGTCATGAATGATCTTAACACTTTAATTTAAAAAGAAACAACAAAATCTTATTCTTCCACACTGCCCAAATTTCCACTTTTAGGAAAGATTCTATTGAAAGTGTTATCAATAGCACATCTGAATGGCTTTGCAGAAGGATAGTGGGCTCTATGAAGGGAGAAAGTTTTGTGATAAAACCAATATAGCCCCAATTCTTGGCCTCTCTACTGACAAAATGAAGGCAGCACTTCCTGGAAAGGACTTGGGTGAAGCGAGGTAGTAAAGAGGAAGCCCAAAGCTCTGCCACAACTTTCTCTAGTTGCTTGGTCCATTCCTATCTTAGGTCTTGTCTGCAGAAGGCCAAGAAGGCTCACCTCCAAGAGCTTCCATTATTTGCTCAGGGGTCGGCTCTGGGTGGTTCCTCAGCAGCGTGTAGATGGACATCGCCATCCCTGGGCTGCAGAAGCCACACTGTGTGCCGTGGCACTTGGCAAGTCTTTCCTGGGAGGAAAGGGTACATTATTTATGCATTAAACCTTTGGTTTCCTTATACTGGACAGGAAATAAAAGAGAGTGAGAAATAACAATTTACTTCATCCATTCTATACAAAGAATCTATGCCATGAAGATGCAGATGTGAGACATGACTCTGGGTTCCTCTGTGTGACTCTGTCCCATGTGTCTCTTGCATGGTGCTCACCTAGATAGCTCAAACATTTTTCAAACAGCACTACCCCTGAGATGAAAGCCACATAGTTCAACTATGGATAAACTTAAAGGACAGATATTCCATAATATTTTAATAACTATATATAGTGTCAGGTGGGTACTAGACTTATTGAGGAGAAGTCAAGCATAATATTTACTTACTCCATCATCTTGGGGGGAACCTTGGAAGTTAAATAAATGTCTAACCAATATGCTGTAAACCTGAAACTAATATATTATTTAATATCAAGTGTAATTGAAAAAATATTAATATGTTAATGCAACAATGGCATATGTAACCATTAAAAAAAAAAAAGGATTGCCGAAACCGGTTTGGCTCAGTGGTAGAGCGTCAGTCTGTGGTCTGAGGGGTCCCAGGTTCGATTCCGGTCAGGGGCATGTACATTGGTTGAGGTCATATCTCCAGTGGGGGTGTGTGCAGGAGGCAGCTGGTCGATGTTTCTCTCTCATCAATGTTTCTAGCTCTCTATCTCTCTCTCTTCCTCTCTGTAAAAAATCAATAATAAAAAAAAGGATAGACATTCTTCCAATGCTAATGGGAAATCTGGCTGTGTGGCTTCAGATGTGGCATAGAAACTGGCTGTAAATGTGGTGGTCAGCCGGGACTGGTTTGGCTCAATGGATAGAGCGTCGGCTTGGGGACTGAAGGGTCCCGGGTTCAATTCCGGTAAAGGGCATGTGCCTTGGTTGCGGGCATATCCAAAGTGGGGGGTGTGCAAGAGGCAGCTGATCGATTACTCTCTCTCATCGATGTTTCTAACTCTCTATCTCTCTCCCTTCCTCTCTGTGCAAAATCAATAAAATATATTTTTTAAAATAAATAAATAAATAAATAAATAAATAAATAAATAAATATGGTGGTCAATCTTAAAAACTGGGTCTTTGGGGGGAAAGGCCTGATTTGTAGTTTCTACCAATTTCAGCTGTGCAAATATTTCCAATAGGGCTGGTGTCAGGCTTCCAATGTGATGTCCTTGAATGCGGATCTGGGGAGAGATGTACAGTCACATACCATTCTATGGAATTTCCAACCAGTAGCTATAATAGACAAATAATCTTAAGGGTATAAACAAGAGTAAATGTAGTAAAATAATTAGCAGATGATGAATGATGATATTTATTAACTTTGTTTTTGTCACTACTTATTTAATTTTAAGTTTGTGTAGTTTCATTGTTAATAATGGCTGTATTTAAAGAATGCCTCACAAAGTTCCCGAAAGTTTAAGAATCAGCTCTCACAAGCCAGTATAAGCCTATTCCAGGGCACTACTGAACAAATCAATATTTGAGAGAGACTTCTGGTCAAGGAGGTAAGTGCTGTGCTTGACTTCTCCCATGACCACATCAAAATTACAATCAAATTATAAACCAACCATCACTGAAAGCCACCTGAAGACTAGCTGAATGGAATTCTTACGACTAAGGATTTAAAGAAGAGGACACATAGTGACTGGTAGGAGAGGCAAAGACACAAAACAGGCTGATCCCACACCCACCCATGATGGTTAAGAACAGGGTGGGTTATCTTGGCTGTGGAGAGAGCAAGGGATCCTAGCCTCATATCCAGAGCACCAGTTGCCAGGAAGAGGAGTCTTTACAATACTTGGCTGTGAAAATCAGCAGGGGTTCTGTCTGAGTGAGATGGAGAAGTGCTGGAGACCCAGGCGTTCTCTTAAAGTGCCTGAGCACAGATTTACTTAGCCACAAACATCTGCCCCAAGTTAGAGCAAAGGGACAGCAGCTTGAAAAAAGCCAGGGACATGAGGGCACTCGAATCATCTGGCTTCAGGTGAGGGCTGGAGGGGAGGCTCTCTCTTAGACAGAAAATACTAGAGTGCACACCATTGTTCTTTGGTTGAGCTCTCCTCCCACATAGCCATCTGGTGGACACCATTGTTCCTATGTTGAGCCCTTCTTCTGCCTGGCCTGCTGGTAAGGGTAGTGCCAAATCTAATTTTCCAATTAATTACACTGTTCACCCCACGCTAGTGATTCATTAAGAGCCTGCCCTTCCCAACTATGCACAAACCTGAAACTTCTTTAAAGTGACAGGTCTCAGCCTACCCCGTTGACTTCCCTAAAATATCTCAGAGACACACCAACTCTAGACAAGTAGCATCTGGCCCCAGCATGCCTCATACCTCTGGTACAAGTGGCAGCTGGATTCAGTTTGCAGCTTAGCCTCTCCCAGGCACCTCCAAGTTTAGCACAGATGGTAACCATCTGCAGATCACTTTGTAGCGTCTACCTGGTTGCCTTGGGCCAGGCATAGCAAGTGACTTGGTCTGCCCCAGAGATCCTCCCAAGAGCTCCCAGAACCATCATACCCGGTTTTAGGCCACACCAGAACACCAACCAATTAGCCACACAAACAACAGACCTAAAGGATGGCCAGTGCTGGCACCGGAACCTTGATAAAGCAAAACCACTCCATGGAATCAGCCCCTGAAAAACAGCTTGTCTGCTGTAGTCACAGACATTCCTCACAGCCAGTTAGCCTGGGGTCAATTTGTCCCACTGACATTGCCCCTGCAATGAAAGCTCAGCAATAATAAGAGGGCACAGACAATCCACTCGTGTGATGAAGGAGAATGCCTCACTGGGCCCTACAGGACACCTATTATATAACGCAACTCTTCCCAGACTAGAAGATGTAACAGATTCACCTAAAGCAGAAAAACAAACAAACAAACAACAACAAAAACACACCAGAAAACACAGAGAATCAGCCAACATGGCTGGGGAAACAAAGAAAAATGTCCCAAATGTAAAAATGGGACAAAATTTCAGAAAAAGGGCTCAGCCTAAACTGGTTTGGCTCAGTGGATAGAGCGTTGGTCTGCAGACTGAAAGGTCCCAGGTTTGATTCCATCAAAAGCATGTACATTGGTTGCAGGCAGGTTCCCAGTAGGGGGTGTGCAGGAGGCAGCTGGTCGACGTTTCTCTCTCATTGACATTTCTAGCTGTCTATCCCTCTCCCTTTCTCTCTATGGAAAATCAATAAAATATATTATAAAAAAAAAAAAAAGAAAAGAAATAGAAAAAGAGCTCAACAAATGGAGACAAGTAATCTACCAGATGCAGAGTTTAAAACACTGCTTACAAGGATGTTCTATGAACTTAGGGGAAGAGTAGATGAATTTAGTGAGAACTTCAACAAAGAGAGAAGAAACATAAGAATGACAGTCAGAAAACATAAAAAAAGAATCAGTTAAGGATACAATTACTAAAATGAAGACTGCATTTTTAACATGATATGCTAATTTGAAAAAATATATGCAGCCTTATATTCATTGCAGCAATATTTACAATAGCTAAGATATGGAAACAATGTAAGTGTCTGTCAATGGACTAGTGGATAAAAAAATTGTGGTACAGAATCAATATATGCAAAGTAGGAAGATAGTGGCCTTAGGTAAACGCCTGTAATCACCGCCTCCCACAACCACATCAAAATTACAGAGGCACGAAAATGGAAGAGACTGATGATTCTCAGACGGAAGAGAAGTGGGGAAGGGGCGGGAAGTGATTAAACAAAGATCTTATATGCATATATGTATTATCTATAGACACAGACAAGAGGAAGATGAAGGCCTGTGGCAGGTGGGAACCAGGTGAAGGGGAACAAGTGTGTGTGTGTGTGGGGGGAAATAATCTCAACAATAAAGAAAAAAAAATTTAAAGCCATGGTACATATATACAGTGAAATATTACTTGGCCTTAAAAAAGAATAAAATTTTACCATTTGGACAACAGATGAACATATAGAGTATTATGTGAGTGAAGTAAGTCAGACAAAGACAAATACCATATGATCTCACATGTGAAATCTAAAGAACAAAACAAACAAACAAAACAGAAGCTGATTCATGGATACAGAGAACAAATTGATAGTTGCCAGATGGGTGGGCGGGGGTTAGAGGACTGGGTGAAAAGGGGGAAGGAATCAAGAAGTACAAACTGGCAGATACAAAACAGTCATGGGGATGTAAAGTGCATCATAGGGAATATAGTCAATAATATTGTAATAACTGTGGTTATTATAACAGGTTACAACCTGTTATCTTCCATAAACATCTGCTTTTCTATCTCATTTTCTTTTCTCATAAGACTGAATGGTGCCAGCTGGTACTAGACTTACCAGGGGGATCACTTCATAAGTTATACTAATGTCAAACCACTATGTTTTACACCTGAAACTAACATAATATTGAATGTCAAATGTGATTTTGAAAGGTGACTGGAGAGAAAGAAATCTGATAGGCTGCGGCATGAGGTGCTTCCGTAACTGTGAAGGTGGTGAGTCAGGTATGCCATGCACTGTAACCAAATACTCATCAATGGGAACACACTGTCAGAGGACACTCTTGGCTTCTATGCTCCAACCACAGTTTTCGAGGGGAAAGAATGTCAAGGGGAAATATGGCTATTTACCATTTTTCTTTTTATACACTGCTTTTAAAACAACTTTTGCAGCAGTTCCTATGCTAGTATATGCAAATAGCATCGCCATTTCTTCAGAAAGTGCAGCAAACTTTGCTAAACACGTTGTCATTTTAGCTGTGTTTTATTGCCACCAGGATGCTCAGTTTCTCCTGAGACATTTGGTGAGCATGGGGCGTATTTGTACACACAATTAGCCTCTCATTTAGAGATCAGTATTTTGAATGTGGTAGACAACCTGTTATCTTCCATAAACACCTGCTTTTCTATCTCATTTTCTTTTCTCATAAAACTGAACTGTTCTTGTTTTGTTTAGGGCAAAGACAAGGCTGAGAAGCTAAATAAGATATATTAAAATTAATAAAGAAAACTTTATTTATACACCAATCTTTGAAAAGATTCCTAGCTACAAAGCATGGGATCTAACCAAATGGGAATTTAAAAGCACAAAGGATCTCACAGTTGGCAACCTATTTAGAGTACATGGGACCATGAGGGATACCTATACCAACACCTGGTCCCAATCAGAATACATGCTTACCTGCACGGGGTGAATCCTGGTTTTGATGCTTCCGATACCTTCCACCGTGGTGACAGCAGCCCCATACAGAGAACAGATGGGCACCAGGCATGCGGTGACTGGATAATGACTGTGAGAGAATTGTGTAAAGAGAACACCTGGGAATCATAGGGAGTGGGTAACATAATTCAGGGAGTAATGTCGGTCGGGGAGAATCACTGGACTGTATTTCTGTGAGAATACAGAGAACTCTAGATATAAAACCATAAATTTCTGGAAGTGTTCAAGAAAGGACTTACTTATGGCTGGTGTAGGATATTAAAAAGAAATGGAAAAATAGAATAAGAAAGTGTTTTGTGTAGGGCTTCACAGAGACCCTCAATTCTCTATTTTTTCCCCCCATTCTAGGGAAATAAATGTTTTACTGAGCATAAGATGACTTATATAAATCACCATGGGTTAGTTATACCCAGTGATTCCCAGCCATGCAAACCTTTTAAAAATACAAATACTCTGGTTGCACACTACGTAATTAAATATAATCTGATGGGAAGAAAGTCCATGGGAAAGATCTAGAACTTGGGAAGCTGCAGGGAGAGCAGGCCCAGAGCTGTGTGAGTGCCATGGGCACCTGGGGAGAAGGAGAGGAGTGAATATGGACAGCAAAGTGAGAGGCTCCACAACCTTCCCAGATGTGCCCAAGCAGGGCCCTGGCTAACACAAAGGATACCGGATCTTCTTGGTCTTGGGGTCATATCTTGACACCATGACAGTGCAGGCGCCACAGCCTCCACTCCCACAGCCGTACTTGGTGCCTGTGAGGTGGACTGGAAAGAAGCAAGTCAAGGAAAAAAAGGACCCAGGCTCCTTTGCTTTTATTTTTTAAAATATTTTTAAATTGATTTCAGAGAGAGGAAGGGAGAGGAAGAGAGAGATAGAAGCATCAACAATGAGAGAAAATTATCCATCCTCCTACATGCCCTCTACTGGAGATTGAGCCTGAAATCCCGGCATGTGCCTTGCCTGGGAATCAATAGTAACCTCCTGGTTGATGGGGCAACACTCAACCACTGAGCCACACAGGCTGGGCCCCTTTGTGTTTTACACTCTTTTTCCTTGGATGCCGACAAGTAACATGTTCTCTTGAGTTCCTTGCTCAAGAGTTCTCCTCTGTTCATTCTTCCTGGTGCCCAAAGGCATAAAGAAGTCGTTCTAAGTAAATGTGGCTCACCTGAGAGGCCTCAACCTCTGATTACAGAGTCAACAGTACTGGGATGGAGTCAGAGGCTTATTATTTTTAAAACATGTTTTTATTGATTTTTAGACAGAGAGGAAGGGAGAGGGAGAGAGAAAAAGAAACATCAGTGATGAAAATCATTAATCAGATGCCTCCTGCACGCTCCCCCTACTGGGGATTGAGCCCCCAAATGGGCATGTGCCCTGACCCGGAATCTACAGGTGACCTCGTCACTCCTGGGTAGATGCTCAACCACTGAGCCACACCCATTGGACCAGAGGCTTATTTTTAACTTGTTCTCATGTGGGTGATGCACAAATATTGGCTTTTCTGTCTGAGCCATGGCATACACCAGCACTGACCTACTGCACTTTTCACAGGACTCCCATGGCCCCTTCCAGGGCCCTGTACCTAATTTACATAGCTAATTTTATATATATATATTTTTTCCCTGAAGGCAAGTCTCCAATATTATAAAAACTTCAGGCTCCACAAAACCCCAATCTGCTGCTGACATGGGGCCTGACTCAGGCGTCATTGCCAGAATGGGACCCAGTCACACAAGAAACCAAATATAAGGAAGCCACCCATCTTTCTCTCACTGTTTCACTCCTTCCCAAGGTCACAGCCTCCTATGGAGTCAACCCATCCATCCCAGCTGCCCGGTGATAGTTCAGTCACACGTACAGTTCCCAGAATAGTGAGTGGAATAGGTGCAGATATATTGATGAAAGGAGTAAAATGATGGGCTAGGAAACTATATTGCAAGGGATTTCATTGAACAGGCGGCATCTGGAACACATAATTTATTAGACATGCTTCCCTGAGCAATTGGCCAGGCGTTTTCACCTTCACATGCCTGAACATGAAGCCGCCATCCAGGTGACCGGGGGCCACAAAAGTCATGAAGTTATTTCCCAAAGCTATTCCCAGTGGACCCTCGTGGTTCCCTGGAGGGGTCTTTTGGGTGAATGCTCAGGTGGAAAACTACAACAAATAAAGTACACATCTGTCACTTCTGGAGGCATTCTCTGAACTCCCACGGGACGCTACACATTGGACACCAGGCTATTGACCCAGAACAAATACAGGGTGGCTTTCTTCAGAAGTCTTAGTGTGTTCACTGTCTACCACCCAACTCAGATGGATTACAGCAAAACATAAGGATACGGACTTTCCGCAGGTAGAACAGCAGGGTCATTTCAGGATCAGCGCTCTTCTCCACGACCTACATTGTGGAGCGAGAGGAGGGCTTCAGGAAGAGAACACCAGAACGTGTGGCAACTCTACCTGTTGTTTAGGGGCATGTTTTTGGTAGGTGATGGCGTCCAAAGACAAAACAACAGCAAAGGAAACACAATACTTGGAGCCAGAATTTTGAAAAAAATGAGCATTATCTTAACGCCTCTGCATTTTGTAACACATATGACAAGTGTAAATTCTGGATTGTTTTTCCTTACAGTCATCTAGGGAAGTGGATACACAGGTTCCAAAATTGATCAAGATAACTAGTGGCTACAGAAAGCCACAAAACAGATTAACTGCAGAAGATTTTTTAACAGAGTCATAAGATCAAAACGGAGTCGGTTTAAGGGAGACACCCTGTCTTCTCCATCCTTCCTCAATGAAATGCAGGTGCCAGTAGGTGAGGGAAGAGCAGAAGGGAGCATCAATCACTGCCTGTCTCTCATGGTGCATGCCAGGCTGTTGGCACCAATAAATCAAAGCTGACACCTGTGATGAAAGCTGTCTGCCCTCCCTGCCCAAGCAGCTCCCTGGCAGGATACAGTTAGGCAGGATTAGAGAGAACTGAAGTGAAAATCGCCTGGAAGAGTAGCACTGAGCAACAACAAAAAAGAGAACATTATTCTTCTAAAAGTGTGTGTATTTTTATCACCCCAGGAAAAAAAAAACCAGCAAACCACAATATTTTTAATAAATGCCTCATATTTCCAATTTTCTTTTCACATCCTCAGGATCTGAAGAGCCAGAGAAAAGCTCAGCACCCATTAGACATGGAATGATCAAGGCCCAAACGAAGAAGGAGAAAACAAGATTGGGCTTTGGGAACTTAATGAAAGGATGCTAACTGCAATTCTGATGTCTCATTAAATAGCACTTCCAGCCATTTAAAATAAAAATTCAGCCCTGCCATAGTGGCTCAGTGGTTGGGTATCGACCTATGAACCAGGAGGTCACGGTTCCTTTCCGGTCAGGGCACATGCCTAGGTTGTAGGCTTAATCCCGAGTAGGGGGAATGCAGGAAGCAGCCAAGCAGCCAATCAATGATTTTTTTTCTCATCATTGAAATTTCTCTCTCTCCTCTCTCTCTCTCTCTCTCTCTCTCTCTCTCTCTCTCTCTCTCTCTCTCTCTCTCTCTTCCCTTCCTCTCTGAAATCAATAAAAAAATATTTTAAAAATAAATAAATATTTCAGTAGTCATAAGAAAAATTCTGGTCATACCATAAGTTGAACTCAAAAAATTGTACTCGTACTTTCTGTTTCCTCTGGTACTTTATAGACACATAGGAAATGATTTCTTTTTACTATGTATATGAAGAAAGAGATAAGCAAGGGAGACCTACAATGAGAGAACATTTTACACACATCAGATTAGCACAGTTTAGCAAGTCTGATTGTATCAAGTGTTGGTAAGAAGGCAGCACTTTTCATGCAATTTTCTGTGGGAAAATGTATCTTGTGCAGGATTCAGAAAGCCACCTGGCAGGACCTGAGACATTGGCATGCCATAATCTCACTGAGTGATTTTCTTGCCAGCGCTGGTAAAGAAATACACGGTCAGGGGTTCACTGCATGTAGTGGGGAATTGGAAGCATCCCATGTGTGTATCACTGGGGGACTGCATAAGCAGAGTGAAGGACGTACACAGCCCAGAGAGCTCTACATGCAGACATAATGAGCCAGGGGTTCAGAGAGCAACATGGATATATCTCAAAAACAGCGGTGAGTCACAAAAGACATGAAGGGATGTGTAAGTCTTTGTAAAGTAAATCACAATTTCACTCAGGTGAAATATAATAAGAATATAAGAACATGCATGAAAAGCCAAGCACTGTACAGTTGAACCTTGAACAATGTGGAATTAAGGGGGCTGGTCCCCCTGCACAGTTGAAAATTCATATATAACTTCAGACTCCCCTGAAACTTAACTATTTATAGACCACTGTTGACTGGAAGCCTTACCAATAACATAAGCAGTCAATAACAAATAGTTTGTATGTTATATAAACATACATATTTGTGTATTGTATTCTTACAATAAAGTAAGCTAGTGAAAATGTGATTAAGAAAATCATAAGGAAAATACATTGGGGGAAAAAACACACCACACACAAAACCACATATAAGTGGACCAGCACATTTCAAACCTGTATTGTTCAAGGGTCAGCTGTATATATTTCAAGGCTACATCTATCTTTCTAAATGACTATATTGAAAGTACATGACAAGGATGTATGAAAGTATATGATAAGGACAAAGTATATGCACAAGAGTGGATGCATCTGGGAGAAGGAAATAAAGAGAAAATAAGAAATAAAAAGAAAACAAAATAAGGAAGAAGAGCCTTTTTGATGAAGATGTGCCATTGGTGGAGGAATGTGCTTTGCTCAACTCTGTGCTCCTGCGTCTAAAGGAAAGAAGACCAACCACAAAAATAACAGCAAACCCAATTTCTCCAAAGAGCTGCATATATTTCCCCCCTTTTATTTGCCATCTACAACTTGTCTTAGAAATTTGTAAAATGGAGAAAGGGAAAAATACCAAAATATCAGCTATGAATTCAAAAGATTGGGAGACGTGGAGAGGGAACAATCATTCAAAAGTGTTATTAAAGGATAAATGGTTTTATTTGCCAGCAACAGCAAAGCAACAAAGCCCCGTTTTCCCTGCACTCAGAAAAGCTCTTAGCTTTTGAATTCCTGTGAACTGTCTACTCAGCAGTTATTCTTCCGAAATGCCAGTTGGCTCCAGGTCATGCAAGATCCTGAACAATGGGTAAGCAGTATTACTAAACCCAGATTTTTTGTTGTTGTTGTTCTTTTCTTTCTCTTTCACATTTCGTTCTTTAGTTCATGGGTTTCCTAAAAATGTTGTTTCCCTGCTATTTGTCAGGCAACGCTCCCAAGAATTTTTGCCATGATTAAAGTTGACTTCCTCTTTTAAGGGAAGAACATCAGTAATGCAGTACAACTGAGGCTTGGGAAGCAAAATCATTCACACCAAATTTTAATATGTTACAAGTCTTTTCCTACCTACTTGTCTCAAAGCACCTCAGACATTTTACTTACTCATTTTGCTCATTCAAGCACAGGCCTGAGGACAACTGAGCCTTTGAGTCGCCTCACCTCTTCCCCAGGGGACACAGCCGCCGCCCTGCCCCATGGCTCAGCAGAGCTGCTTCAGTTTCTGGGCTAATTGACCAGCCTGAGTGGATGTATGACAGCAAAACAAAATCATTCTTTGCTATTAGCATCCTTAATGTCACATGTGCCTTCTGTTGAAATAACATCGGTGAACTCCAGTAGAGCTAATATAGTTTTTCATAACCTGGGTCAGAATTCACTCCCATTGCAATCCATTGGAGCTCCTTACTGTCCAAAAGAAAAGTTAAGACAAGCAACAGCCCCCATGCTTTCATCATTTTGCACTAAACCTTGAATAAATGATGCATTTTCAAGTTCAGAGCAATATATACTAGTATGACTTGAAAAAGTCAGAAGGCAGAGGTTAATAAGGACTGGCATCGTAGTGAAAAGAAATTAGCTTGGCTTTTGTCTCTGGTGTGCAAAAGTTCATATTAATTTATTGTGCAAACTTACCTTTCTTCCATTCACAAAGAAAATCAGCTCATCAGAACTGGGGAGAGAAGGCATTGTGCCAGAAAACAGTGCCTCCACCCCAGTAAGAGGTTTTCCTTCCGATAGAGCAGGTCGGTGAGAGCAAACACCTAGATAGATGCCTACCAGTCTTGGAAAAGCCCAAGCATCAGCGGATGATTTATAGCCACATCTGAGACCCGCCCCGCCCCGCCCGCAAGCACTTCAAAGGGCTCTTGGCAGCACCTGTCTCCTCCTTTGCCAGGAGTGAGCCAAATCATTGCCTGTCCCCTTTGAAGACCAGATGGCTCACTAGTGAAATGTGTAGAAAGCCAGGACTAATAAATACAAATTGAGTTTTGCCCACTGTCATGGCTCAGTGGTTGAGCATTGACCTATGACATCAGGAGGTCATGGTTCAATTCCCAATCAGGGCACATGCCGGGGTACTGGGCTGGATCCCAGTGTGGGGCATGCAGGAGGCAGCCCTTCAGTGAATCTCATCATTGATGTTTCTATCTGGCTCTCCCTCTTCCTTCCTCTCTGAAATCAATAAAAATATATATTTTTTAAAAATGGAGTTTAAATAGGCTATTGTTATTTTTAAACTAATCAAACCATCAGTAAATATAATACTATTAGTGACCTGGTGCATGAAATTTGTGCACATTAAAAGGGGATTAACTAGAGGAAATAACTTAATATTGCTATTTGCCCTTTCTCTATAATAGAGGTGTCAGAGATGAAAGAAAATTAGTGAAATGTATATGAAAACCTTCCTCCTGTCAGAGTCTGGGTCACACCACAGGACCCAGAGTCATGTCCCTGCCCACCCACATGCACCTCAAAATCGAGTGAGACCCAGACCCGGCTGTTCCCCCCTCCCCCCGAACATTGGGCTAGATCCAGTCCTGGCCAGTCCCATCCTTGTCAAGCCCTGCTGGGCAGGGGGCATAGCCTCAGGTCCCCTGGCCTGGTGCTGGGGTAGGGGGCATGGCCTGAAGTCCCCTGTCAAGCTCCACCTGGTGGGGGGCAAAACCTCAAGTCCCCCAACCTGGTCTGGGGTGAAAGGAGCAGCTTGAGGTTCCCTAGCCCAGCACCAGGATGGGAAGCGCACCTTGAGGTCCCCCATCAAGCCCCGCTGGGCAGGGGCCATGGCCTCAGGTCCTCTGGCCTGGCACTGGGGCAGTGGTGTGTGGCCTGAGGTCCCCCAGCCTGACTCCAGGGTGGGGTGTGTGGCCTGAGGTCCCCTGTCTAGCCCCATGGGGCAGGGAGGGCGCAGCCTCAGGTCCTTCCAGATTGCTCGTTAGGGCTCCTGATGGGAACTTGGCCTCAGCTGTGGGTGCAGCCATCTTTGTGACAGAGTGATGGTCAGTTAGCATATCCCCTCTTTATTAGATTGGATTCTATTGAAACTCATGAAACTTTTCCCAGTGTCCTTAAAGATTTATTGGAACCCAACCACAAACATTCATTTATGTGTGGATTCTGGCTGGTTTCCAGCTGCAACAGCAGGCTGAGTGGTCAAAGTCGAGATCTTATGGTCTACAAAGCTTTAAAATATTTACTCTCTGGGTCTCTTATAGAGAAAGTTTGCTGACCCCTACTGGAGAAAGAAGGCATCCATGTTTTTGATTGGCCTTTTGATGATGGTGCAGCACCATCCAACCAGGTTGTTGGTGACTGGTTACGTCTGGTAAAAAGTAAGTTTCCTGTAGAACCCGGCGGCTGTATTGCCACACGTTGTGTTGCTGGCCTTGGGAGAGCGCTGGGGCTTATTGCCCCAGCATTAATCGAAGGTGGAATGAAATATGAAGATGCAGTATAGTTCATAAGACAAAGCAGCATGGAGTTTTGAACAACAAGCAACTTTTCTAGTTGGAAAAATACCGCCCTAAAAGGTAGCTACATTCCAAAGACTCCAGTGGTTATAGAAACAGCTGTAGCATTCGGTGATGCTGTTGCTTTGGGAGTGGAATTGAGATAGGATCTAATTCGTAATACTCATTAGCCAACATGTTGGGTTGGTGAATATATCTGATGAGGCTTCCATAGGAGTGTTGAAAAGTGTAGAGAGTGCTTGGGAAGGCACATTGAGCATTTCTTAACATTATTGTTGGCAGAGCCACGACCTAGAAACGCACTATGCCAGAGGCAGGTATATTACCAACCTGACCCTTAGCTCAGGTGCCAGGGGGTAGGTTTCATTGTCTAAGTTCAGCTAGGTACAAGAAATGAATGCAATTATCCGGGCTTAGCCAGGAGTGATAATTACAAAGAAGCCACAAGAGTGAAACATTATAGCTTGATCTTTGACCATGATTTCTCTTAATTTCCTTTGTTTTAAACGAAGGAATCATGCTGTATATAATAAATGCGCTGCACCGATTCTGGGTCACTATCTCTCAATCAGAGGACAACTGTCCCACCGGGTCCTAGCTTTCCCTACTGTGTCGGTCTCTTTCATTTTTCTCAATCCCCCATCTCCCCTACTTAGGACTCATGTCCTCCCTCTAACCACGCTGGTCACGGTAAAGAGAGAAATATTTATAGGAAATTAGTTTTACCAGGCCATAAGCTTGACAGAATTGCAACCTCTATGTTTGATTATGATCAACCTATTTTTTGCTTTTAGCAAAAGTTTCTTACTGTTTAGCATTTAAAATGTGCTTATCATTTGTACCAAGTGACTTTTCCTGAAATCGTGCAGTTATGTCTTTAAATCTGTCCCCAAGCCAGAATCTTATCAATATACTAGAGGCCTGGTGCATAACAGTTATGTGCTGGGGGGCTGGGGTGGTGGTGTCCCTCATCCTGACCTGCGCTCTTTCACAGTTTGGACATCCTTAGCGCTTCTGTGGAGGTGGGAGAGGCTCTCGCCACCACTGCTGCGCTAGCCAGCCGTCAGTCCGACTTTTGGCTGAGCAGTGCTCCTGCTGTGGGAGCTCACTGACCACCAGGGGGCAGCTCCTGCATTGAACGTCTGCCCCCCTGGTGGTCAGTGTGCATCACATGTACTGGCTGGTTGGATGGTTGGATGGTCGGACAGTCACTTAGCCTTTTATATATATAGATAAGAGATTTAGAAAGACTATGTGCCAAAATACCCAGCACAATTCTTGTGTATTTTTAGTTTCATACTAAAATCCCAGGAACTATGAACACTCTGGACCTTATGTGGTTTATCCCTGCAGTCATTTCAAACATAGAAAAAGTAGGGCCTATGTAGTTATTTGCCTGCTCAATATATGTTTACATCTCTCACACTCATACAACTATACATCAGGTGAGCTCAACATTTTGATTTTTAAGTCTTAGTTATTATTTAATGTCTTTCTATAAACCTCACTTTGTGCTGTTACAGAAAGCCTCCACTAATCTAGATCTTACCCATTAGCTGGATGTCACCTTTTTTCTGGTTGGCAGGTAGCAAATACATAATTTAGTTATTTGTGTCATTATATGCTGGACTATGGGAGAAGCCCAACACCTGAGACAGGTGAAGAAGCCCTGTCTAATGGCACATATGAAAGAAGAGTCCCAAGAGGTCGAGAACTCCCAGAGAATGGATACAATGCCCCCAGGGCAAAAGGCAGGGGCTACAGGACAAGTCGATAATCCTAAATCTCCAAAGAGGTTCCTTCCACTCCAGTCTGTTTTATGGCCTAATTGGGTATGGTGTTGGGTGAGGAGGAGGAGGGAACTGGGGGAGAATGGTGTGTTGTGCTGGGTCAAGAGGTTCTTGTAACCTATATAAGTCTTAATTGCAAAATGCATACCTTAAAGAAGCAAGCCACTGAAAGAGAATCAGGGTGTATTAGTATGGCCTTTTCCCTGTGCGGCTCTGAAACTGTACAAGGGGACAGGTTCTGAGGTTCCTGGCAACTCATAAGCCCTGAACTTCAAAGGTAAGAATCATTGGAAAGGAAATTATTCTACCACTTATACTCTTATTTCTAGGATCAGAAGTAGGTACCTCGCTGTTCCTCTTATAAACTTTTAGAGGAGGTAGAGGGAGAGCATAGGTTACCTTCACAGGCCTGCAGAATATCTGGCAGTCCTGCCTTGCAATGTGTTGCTAGAATTTTATCTAGGATTTTATCTCGTCTAGAGTTCCTGTGACCTACTTCACATAGAACTATGCAATTTCTAACATTTTTTCATGTCACATATATAGATATACCTCATTGATTTTAATATCTGTCTAGTAGTCCATCATATAGGTGCATCGCACTTTATTTAAAGTCCCAAATAAGGAACACCTTGTGTGTGTGTGTGTGTGTGTGTGTGTGTGTGTGTTTTCATTCTTATATAAATATCTTTCCACAATAAACATCTTTGCATATATACTTTGTCAAAAAGAAATTATTTGTATGTCCATCGGTTAAATTCCTAAAGGTGATAATGGATTTATGGTGTTTATTGTTTGTTTTTGTTTTTTGGGGGCAGTTTGAGAAAAATGTTCTAAGATTAGACTGTATTGAAGTTGTACAAGTTTATGAGCATCCTACAAACAATTGAATTGTACACTTTAAATGAGTGAATTTTATGGTTTGTGAATTATATCTCAGTAAAGCTGTTAAAAAATTCCTAGCAGTGAAAGTGATAGGTTTGAGTATATGTGTGGCAACATGTTTACAGGTGCTAAGGGCCTCCCCTTTGAGTCTTTCGTGGATCAGGAGGTAGGAGGGTGTTACTCTGAGTCTTTCACGGATCAGGAGGTGGGAGGGTGTTACTCTGAGTCTTTCACGGATCAAGAGGTGGGAGGGTGTTAGACTAAGCTGGTACAGTCTGTGTAGGGCACATCTCTTATCTGGCCTTGGAAAGAGAGGAATTACTGGCCTTGGTCATGAGAGTATATGGCCCTACCCTTTAACCACCAACTGCCCCAGGACTCAAACACCCTGTGTTACCTTACCGATTTGGATAAAATTTAGTCCCGTACGTAAGAATTACTTTGTACTTTATATTTCCCACACTGTCTAATACACTTTATAACTTAAAAATGCTTTCACATGTATTATCTTGTTTAATCCTCATGACAATTCTGTGAGATTTATTATAATACTAGAGGCCTAGTGCATGGATTTGTGCACATTGAAAGGAGGCTAGCAGGGTACTACTGGGTGATATGGGCCAGACACGCCCTGGAGCAGTCCCT